GACAGACAGGTCAGTCAAGGGAGGAAGGGGGGGGCGAGAAATGGGAGCAGACAGTAAAGGAATGGATAGACAACTGGCTCCAAAAAAAGAAGCAGTCCTGTACCAACCAGAACATGAAATGACAGATTGGGCTTCATTTTGAATTGCTGTATGGCTTGGCATTTAATAATCTTAGAACAGCATAGCTTGAAGGGATCCTATGGATCATTAAGTCCACCCCCTCTCAAGGAGGCACACTGGGGAACTGAACTCCCAACCTCTGGCTATATACCTAAACCACCGAGCTATCCAGCAGTAGCCATCACTTGTTTGCCTTTATCCTTTTTCGGATTTCATTACCTCTGGATTCTGAACACATATAGTCTGTGGTGGCAAATAGCATTTGCAATTAACATCTTTTCATTTAAATGTCTGAAAGGTCTTGCTTGTATGATGTCACATGTACTATATGTGTGCTACAACAGGAGTTGCTGCAGATGCAACCCCTTTTTTTCTGGAGAGTGTAGTTTCTACATTCCTGTGAAAACCATACATGATGACTTTGCTTCAGTCTGAGGATATAGGTAGCATCTAGAATAAGAACAGTGGAAATACAAGTCTTGCTGAATCCCTAAAATATCCATCTAAATACTGTAGTAAAATACAGTAATGACAGAATAAATGACTACTGGTTTGGTTCCATTTTGTGACACCTAAGGTCTCCTGCCTGAAATGGCTGCCTGATTTTGCCTAATAGTAGGGCTGCCCTTTGAGAGATAATTATGTGCTTTCCATGTGATAAATAGGAAGGGTTTTTTTTTTTAAAGAATCTTGAGAAGATAGTAGGCATCCTTCAGTCTCGAAAGACTATGGTAGTGTGCTCTGTATGGAGGACTTGAAACAGCGTCTAGTGTGGCTGAGGAGGTCAATTCGAGAGTTACAATCTCTTCCACACTGAAGACAAATCCAATCTGTCCCCTGTCCAGCTCCCTGGTTTTGCTTCCTTTGTGACTTCCTCTTTGCCTCGGCCTGCTGGACAAGGGTCTTTTCACATTGGGAGAGGCTGTGATGTACCGCCTGCCTCCAGGCTGAACGATCAGATGTCAGAGTTTCCCATCTGTTGAGGTCTATTCCTAAGGCCTTCAGATCCCGCTTGCAGATATCCTTGTATCGCAGCTGTGGTCTCCCTCTGGGGCGATTTCCCTGCACTAATTCTCCATATAGGAGATCCTTTGGAATCCGACCATCAGCCATTCTCACAACGTGCCCAAGAAGAAAGGTTTCACATTCTTGAGATAAGAAATATATCCTTCAATATTATGTAAGGAAACAAAATATAAAACAGGGGTTTTAATTTATTCAGCATGGATAGGTAATTAAACAAGCAGACACAGTTTTCTTGAGTTATTGATTAATTTATAAAGCTCTGGGATATCCTTCACAAATTCAGAATAATAATGTATCTGCATCATCTATATTTTATTTAAACATTTTAGTAGGATGCAATTCTATGCTTTATTCTAAAGTGTTAAATACTTAGAAGTACTTAAGATCGATTTACAAAATACTTGTGAAGGGATGATATTAGGTGAGAAGTTATGGGAAACAGATAATTGATTTTAGCCCTGAAGTATAAATGGGCAAAATTCCAAGTTGCAAGACTTTCCCAGTTATGCCTTTATTGATCTGATAATGAGATTAATGTGTATTACAGTATTGATAAATTCAAAGGATTAATTACTAATGGTATATCTGGCATTAACTCTCATCCTCAACTTGAATAAGCTTTCCACTTCTTTTTTGGCCAGGTGGAACATGACCTGTGATGTGGCCACTTTATTATTATTTTTATTTTAGATGCCCAAGAACATCCACTCTTCATCTAAAAAGGGAGTTTGTATGCAGACCACTATAGGCAGCAGGCTAGCAGCTGATGCAAAGGGATGTCCCAATGGGCTTCTCTTAGCAATTTATTGAGGGCGTAGAGTGGACTTTGTATTGCCCAAAGTCACTCAGAATCAGGTCTCTGGGTCTAGTAAGTTGCCAAGAGCAGAACTTTTCTAGTTTGTGGTATTGGCATCCTGACTTGAGGCAGAAATAGACTTTATTAATACTGAAACATTACCCCTGAATGAATCTTAGTCTCTGTGTTTGAAATACTGTATCAGACTTTAAGAGCATCCCATGTCTAAATCCCGAAGATCAATTACAAAACAAAGCAAATGGAGGGGGCAGCCACATTAGCCAAAAATGCAGGTTTGAGGCAGGTTGATTTACCTTTTTTCCCCTGCTGATCACATAGCAAATGGAGCTGTTCTTAAGTTGGATTGTTCTTAAGTAGGGACGTTCTTAAGTAGAGACCCCACTGTATCAGACTTTAAGAGCATCCCATGTCTAAATCCCGAAGATCAATTACAAAACAAAGCAAATGGAGGGGGCAGCCACATTAGCCAAAAATGCAGGTTTGAGGCAGGTTGATTCACCTTTCCCCCCCTGCTGATCACATGAAGCAATAGGACATGCAAATCAGCCTGGAGTCTCTCCCCATTTGTATTTTCCCCCTCCACTGTGGAGGCTTCAGATTTTAAAAAATATGAATTCTTTTGCATCAGTTCAGGCATATGCTTGTTTACTGATGCGGAAAGGGAGGCCAAGCTGCAAACATGCAGACACAGATAAAGCATCCCCTTGCCTCTTACCTCATGAAGGAGAATGAGTACATGCACACATAAGGCAACGACAGCACACGTTCTTCCCAGCAAAGTCTCTCTCCTAAGATGCTTCTTTATTTTTGTTAAAGCTTCTTCTTCTGGACAATACTCCTACTTATTTTTTTTTAACATTTATTTTATTTTACCAGCTGAAGAACAGAGAGCAGACTTCAGGTGGGAAGCTGACAATTGAGGAAATCGAGAGAAGAAGGAGCCATTAACTTCTTGTTAATAGAGTTCTTTGAACAGCACCACTTGCAGAGTTGTGAGAGGAATTGCAAGCAAGCACTTCTATTTAAGGGAGGCCACTTAAATCAAACAAATTTGAATTCCCAGGTGCAGCTTCACTGTGAGTGAATATGAGTGACTCACTGTGCAGTCACACCCTGTACTGCAACCAACAGGAGGTGAGAGAAGCTCTTGCTGTGACATTTACATGTAGTCAAGCCCTTAAGGATTTCCCTGTTCTAATGATGGCCTACGCATCATATCTGTTTCTCCCCTAAGGCTGCTTGTAGTTTTCCCTTCTCACCAACAGTCCCAAAGAGAAATAGAGATCCCAGATTGAGCTCAGTGTAACCTGGTTTATAGATGAGTCACACAGGGGAAAAAAACCCTGCATCTTTTTTGCTAAACTTCCAAAGAACTATTAGAGCTAAATAATAGAAATTATCTTGGTCTCACTGAGTTTTGATGTAGAGAGAGGCACATGAGAGCATCAAATCTTTGTTAGAGACAGGAAAGAGATGAAACCAGCTACGACTGAAGTTGCTGTTGGACTAGTCATTATTGCAAACAGAGGAAGGGATTGTTTAGGAAGGGAAATATGTATTTTTGCTGAATTCCTTTGGAAGCTGGATGATATTGGAGGGCAGGTCTGTGTCACATTTCCCAATGTGTTCAGGACTCTGGCTGAAGTTTCTCCAGACAGCACCTCTATCAGACATACAGCTTTGCTCCTCATTCACCTTATTCACCGCTGTGTGAGAAGAAAAGTGGAGAAGCAAGACAGCACTTTCACCATCCCTGGTGAAATGACTGAAACACAGCCTATCAAACACAATTTATAGTCTCCTACCCCTTTAGAAGGAGCATGGCTTTGGTGTAGGACCTTGTCTCATGACCTCACAGGCCAAGTAGGTCAGTTGAATAGGCCATATTTGCTCCCCCTACACTGGAAGCACCCCTCCCCCCTTGGATATCACACTTTTTGAGATTATTTTAATATGGTTTGGGATTTTTAATTTAACATGAATCACCACGTGAGGCTGTAATTCTTTTAGTGCCCAAAATCCATAACCAAATTCTACTTAGTACTGTCTCAAGCATGATGGATGTCTGGACCTTTACACAGCTGAATATTCTCATCCAGTTCAGTCAGCCTATTATATATTACTGTACAAATCAGAATATTTGTCTAAAGCCACTCATGTGTACTCCAGCCAAAATCAGGAAACATTATCTTGAATTGTTTAAAAGCTTCTTCTTCTGGACAACGCAGTTTATATAATATTTTGTAAATTCAAACACTCTGGTTTCAGTTTATAGGATTAATTTGCCTGTGCTGTACACCTGTACACTTCAATACTGTACTAGTATTTATAGAGCTTTAAGAAGTTACTGTAGTTTTGAACTACAAACTGCAGAATCACTAGCCACTGGTCAGTCCAATAGGTAAAGTTTCCTGGCTCTGGATCTGAAACTTCTATACAACTGCTGCACATCATAGAGTCAAAACATATTTAGAGTAGGCTTTGAATCAATGTTATTTAACTTTAAGGTGATGAACATGCTTTTTCTTTCTGAAATTATTTGGAGGGAAAATAAATGTTTTACTAATGTTTTACTAATTGCCTTCTGTGTTAAAGCCACTCTGTCTCTATTTCAGAGACGTAATATAATAGCTAAAATTTGACCCCCAAAAAAGAAAGTTGAAGGATAAATATTTTCCCTCATGGGCCTGGGTGTGTCTTGAGAAGATTTTTGTTGTTGCAAACGCTGTTATGTCCAATTTCTTGTTGGCTCTGAAAGCAGTTAAACCTGATGGGTAACTCTTATCCTTTCCAATCAGTGGGGACAGTGGAATTCTTAGGACAGTAAAAATACAGCTAAGTGCTAACCAGTATGTGTCAGATTCCAACTGGTTTGAATTAGTAGAGGTTTTTGCACGTAACCACACGACCACAGGATGCTTAGAAGGGCTTCTCTTCAGCAGGTAGGCTGAGGCTATCCACAATACTCGACAGAACCTGTGTGTCTGAAGGGCACATACCCAGAGCTCCATTGCAGAGTGTTCTCTTGGAAGAAGAGATGGCTGCCGCCGCCCTACAGATTGCTGGATTGATCCTTGGAGGCATTGGCTCAGTGGGGACTTTTGCTATAACTGGCATGCCTCAGTGGCGAGTGACTGCTTTCATTGAAAACAACATCGTGGTTTTCGAAACCATCTGGGAAGGTCTCTGGATGAACTGCATCAGGCAGGCTTCCATCAGGATGCAGTGCAAGGTCTACGACTCCCTCCTGGCACTGACCCCTGACCTTCAGGCTTCAAGAGGTCTGATGTGTGCTGCCTCAGCTCTGGCATTCCTTGCTTTTGCAGTCACAATTCTTGGGATGAAGTGCACTCAGTGCACAGGAAACGATGACCGCATAAAAGGTTATATTCTGCTGGCCGGTGGCATCACTTTCATTCTGTCCGGCATCATTGTGCTCATCCCAGTCTGCTTTGTTGCCCACAACATCATCCGTGACTTCTACAATCCTGTTGTCACAGTGGCTGAGAAGCGAGAGCTCGGGGAAGCTCTTTACATAGGATGGGTGTCTGCTTTCTGTCTTGTCGCTGGAGGGGCAATTCTTTGCTGTTTCTGCCGTTGCAGTGAACAAACCAGGAGTTATCGGTACTCTGCGCCTTCGCAGCCTTCAGCCTACCACAGCCACCGTACTCAAAGAAGAGCTGAGAGTTCATATTCTAAAAGTCAATATGTTTAGTTGTCTCTTGATTCGTTCATCTTTCCAAGAGAAGACATGGAATCTTAATATCCAACATGGTTCGAACTAACTTAAGGAGAAACTTTGCAAGCATAATATGCCATGCTCACTGGAGTGAAATCCATGGGATGACTTGTGGATTCTAAGGCAAAGCAAGCTCTACAATACAAGGAAACATATTTAGATATGCAAGATGCAAAAACACAGCTGGACCTTGTCTCAAGTTTTATAAGGGTGTGTGTATGTGTATATTAATTGAGCATCTATTAAGAAAGTTCATTTTAAGAATGATCTGAGGGAGGGAGTGGGAGGATGTTATATCACAGTTAAAATTCTGACCTTAATAAAATCCACTATATTCTAAATATTAGATTCTAAATACTGTAAACAATAGCATAGGATCCTCACAGGAAGTGGAGTGGGGCAGCTGAACAAACTATTACCAAGATGTTTTTTAAAGTAATGTTCTTGGGAAAATGTTGTTCAGCTGTATAAGGAAAGTATCATATTTGGAGTATTTAAAATTTCAGCACGTATTTCAGAGTGTATGTTCTCATTTCCTGAGAGATGCTTCCCTATTTTCCAAAAGTAGTAACTCCATAATAGTCATAAAATGTCATGCGATTTGTGTTCTTGTTGAAGTGAGTGAATTATGTTCTGCTATTCATTTTCTGTATATTATACATTCCTCCATGACCAAAGATTTTTAATCCATTTTAATAAAAGTATTCAAACCTGCATCTGGCAACAAAAGTTGTGTGACCCTTCCAGATGCCTCTCATGGTATATCCAGTTGACATTATAGCAAGAAAGTGCATGTGACTGTAAGTGATTTGCAGGCTGGTAATCAGCATGAGGGCAGGAGGATCTGTGGTATGCTTTCCTGTGGATCAGATCTGGGAATTGAGTGATCCACATGTGCTCGGCAGGCATGCTCTTCTGGGGGCCCAGACTTGTCTCATACGTCCTGAGCCCTCTGCAATTGCCAAGAAAAACATGACCATTTTCATTGCTGGAAGCCTCTAGGATCAGCAGGTCTGCTTTCAAACAAGGCGCTGTCCTTCCCCTGTCCCTTGTTTTGTTTGTGAAAAAGCAACAACAGAGAAAGGGGTTTGACAAGATAAGATGTCAACTTCTGACTATCTTGTTTTGGTTGTTTTAGGAACTGGTACAGCTCATTATGGCTTCTGGGGGCTGGGAACTGGCTTGGAATATTCAAATCTTGCCTACTGCTGTTGAAGATGAATTTGTGTGTGTGTGTGTGTGTGTGTGTGTGTGTGTGTGTGTGTGTGTGTGAGAGAGAGAGAGAGAGAGAGAGAGAGAGAGAGAGAGAGAGAGAGAGAGAGAGAGAGAGAGAGAGAGAGAGAGTTTCATTCCCTTGACCCATGATACACGGATATCCTGCCTTTCCTCAACAAATAGTCCCTCAAGAATGTGGCAGCTAAGTATGTCCTAGTATTTATTACGGTTGGGTGACCAGCTGATAAAACTTATTTATAAAGTATACAAAATGAAGTTTAAAAATATACAACCAATTCATAAAACATATTATGTGACTAAAATATACAAAATGCAGTTTAAAAATCTACAACCAGTTCATAGAACATATTGTGGTTAAAATATACAAAATGCAATTTTAAAAAGTGTACAGCCAGTTCATAAAACATATTATATGGTTAAAATATACAAAATGTAATTTAAAAAGTGTACAGCAGATAATTATTTATATACTGGTTGTAAAATATGGGGAGAATCAAACACAGCATGAATGATAGGTGGCAAATGAAGTAGGCGACAGCAGAGGTCACATGAACACAGACATGACAAGAAACCCAATCTAGTCATATGGGTGTGAAGAGATAGGAGGTAATAAGAGCTCCATGGAAAAGTCTATTTATTGTTTTGTTATTGTTTCGAAACACAAAAACTGTTCAGGGTATACATAAAAGAAAGCTTATCAGAGCACAAGGTATATTTCATTGTCATGTTTAGCATCATGGCCCATGTCATTGGAACTGACCGTGTGTGCTGGGAACATTGATAAACTGGCCAGAAATAAGATGTTCTTGAGGCAACAGCACAAGAATAATACAATTGCCCATCACCAAACACCATCTGTTCAAGAATATGCACTTACAACTGAGAGGAAATTCTCAGTGATAGCAGCCTCAGTTCTGGAATCCCCCACCCCAAAGATAAAATTAGTTCTGGCCTTATTGTCTCTTCAGTGCCAAATTAAAATGTCGTTGTTGTTGAGGCATGATACCCCACTAATGAATCTGTGATTTTGTTTTTTGTTTTTTCAGAAATGGTAGTGCCTAAATTAGAAACCCATGTTCCAGTTTACATTAAGGTTAATGACATCAATGACAATGCGCCAGAATTTGCTAATCCATACAACCCTCAAGTGTGTGAAAATGCTGCACCAGGAAAGGTACAGTATTGATAATTTATTAAATGGTGATAATTCCACTCCCTTAAGAAATATTATATTACAACAAATAAAATGGCTTTTAGCAATAGGAGCCATAAATAAGGACAGCCTCTCATACAAAGTCAATAAGAGCATTATGCACTGGCCAGTGTGTTTATGTACCCAACTCCAACCCTCTCTGAATGGCACCAGGGCTCACTGGCTTCCTGTGTCTGTCCCACACGGTGCATAATATACTTGCTTAGGAGCTCAGACAGGGAACCCACAATACCTAGCTCACTCCCTCACACATGCATGGAGAAATATTATGTTCCTAATTCCTGTGACATCACAAGGCCCCACACCATGACTTGACAAAGACCCACCCCAGGCATTGGGCCCCAGGTATAATGAGGGGGATGGGGAAGATAATCCTGTGACAGCCTCTGACAAACAAGACAGCATTTCAAAACCATTCTGGAAAATTCTTTTATTGGTTTTGGAAAAGAGGCTAAATAGGTATCCTCAGCGGAGACAACAGCCTGGTTCAGCTCCAGCAGGACGACTGCCTCCTGGTCCCTCGCATCCGCCTGGGGAAGAGGATGCTTCAGGCCCTACAAGAGAGAGAGAGAGAGAGAAAACAAGTAAGGGGCAAGCTCGTCCACTGCCATCAACTGGCTTCAACCTAGGCGTAACCACCAACCAATGTTATGGCAACTTCATCCTGAAGTTCCACCTGTCAACATCCACTGGCTTCCACCAGGAATATCCACCCGTTCATCTCTTCCATTCCGCTTTCTGAAGCCAGCCTCCAGCAGCTCCTGAATGCTTGGGTCACACACATGCCCCCATGACATCCCCACGGAATGCCAGCCAGCCCATTCACACACACATCCACACACACACATCCACACAGACACACACACCAGCCACCCACTCCTGACACACACACACCTTCACTCCACCAACCATTCACACACACGCACGGTCTTCCATCCACCGATATCCATCAAGCTTCTGCCAGCTGGTTTCAGGAGGCTAACGTCTCCCGGCTTCATCCGCCAACCTCTGCCGGCCTCCGCCTTGTGGCCTTAGCTAGTTTCCACAGGGAGATTCCACCAGCTTCTGTCTGCCAACGTCCACCGACTTCCCCCTGGTCCATTGCCGACATCAGCCAGCTTCAAGTCACGGATCTCTGCCAGCCTCGAGCTGTTAACTCGCAAGCTCACTTAGCAAATTCATCCACTTTCATGAGAGAATTTGCCTTGGGCAGAAAGGATGGGTCCCCTGCAGCTGCTGCCACTCTCTCTGCCAGACTCTCCTCTGGCCACTGGCCTCCCTTCTGGTCTCCTGCCCTGCCCAGCAAGCCCCTTTTATCTGCCAGCAGAGAGGTGGGGCTCTGTGAGGTCACAAAGACCTAGGTGAGTGGGGTTGGGTTCCCAAGGCAGCAGCAGCATCCTCAGGATTGGCTGAATCCTGAAGATGATGTCAACAGTCCCTCTGATCATGTGATTCATCCACAAAAGCTTGCATTTTGTACATAAGCTTGCATTTTGCATGATTTTTTAAAATTTGTGGCCTATTAATGTATCCCTTGTAATCAATACCTCTGATTATTAAATCTCCCCATATTGGCCTTCTGACAGGATTCTAGGCTGGTGCTCCAAAAAGTTATCTTCCAGCATTTGCACCAAAGGGAACTTTCCTATGCCTTGAGCTAGGGGAAAAAATGAAAGTAATGAATGAATAAGGATGGGCACCGTCACACAATGAAGCCTTTGATGCTTTTTTTGTCTTTCTATTGGACATTTTTTCTTGCCCTTGCCATGAAAAAGATATTATAAGGAGCCCGTTAAGAAAACAACCTAAGTGTCTGAAACACATACCAGTATTTTAACACCATCCCTGCACTATCAAAGATGCAGCTGTGTTTCAAAGACTCTCCCAGCCTTTGGAACTCCCTCCCACTGGAAGGCAGATTTGCCCCACCAGTAAGTATTTATTTGTTAATACTGCTCATGTGTGTGTGTGTGTGGGGGGAAACAAGCATTTAACCCTTGCACTGCAGGAGCAGTTGTTTTTTCTAAACTAAAACCCCAGCATTCAGGTTTTAATTGCAGTATTGGCACTTTGAAATAAATAAGTTGATTTTGTGTTGCAGTTTGGGCACTTGGGCTCAAAAAGGTTCACCATCACTGGTCTAGGGCAAACTGGTTTGGACAGGGTCTTTGGGTTATAGGGAGTCCTTCCTACATATTTGTAAAGACTTGTCAATATTTCCTCCCTTTGGTTGGGACCACAACATTTCTCTATGCTTGACAATAAACCACCCGGCAGCTAGTATGTGTGTTTGTGTGCATGCATGGACACACACAAGCACTCACATGGACACATAATACATTTTACCTGAGGTGATATGCCCGTGGAGAATGCAAACCAAATATGTCTGCTAAGCCTACTTATACTTTTAAAAGGTTAATTAAACAAGTGATCAAATAGCTGAGACAGCATATAAATAAGAGTTTTTAAAGCATATTGTCTTCTCCACAGTTTTGCTGTTTGGATATTTCCATTGCTTTGAGAGATA